GTTTCGTGTGTGTGCTTTAATGCGCGCTCTGTTGCAGGCAGCGTTCCAATTTGGGACAGTTCGACCCCTTACAAGTTCGCACTTGTATAATAACAGTTCGATTCTGTCCTCCGCGTTCTGTTCTGGTAAGTGTGCGAAAAAAGGACTGTTCTGAATTGAATCAATTCGATTTTGGGACTGTTCGATTTTGAAAACGTTCGAATTCGTCGTACCCCCGTGCAAAAGGGCCCATCAGGAGGAGGAGGGCCAGAATCTACTGGATAATTAACATTTGTTTCGTTGATCGAAAGAAATTAATATCATTTGAACATTTGCATTGCAAAAATAAGCTATTCAATTTGAATGTTGAAATATAACGCCTTTTCGAGACTTTTCCATTCAAAATTCTTTTTTTGTTAACATTTTTCTCAAGAACTGAAAATCGAAAAAAAAAGAAAAAAAGGAGGAAGGAACGTATGTTATATGTCTGTCTCCAGATGTTTTTAGTCGTCTGAAAAAAAAAGAACAAAAAATAAATAAAAAAGCGCCCAATTTTTTCGAGATAGAGATGGAGAGAGAGAGACGCAGAGAAACTCGAAATCGCTCCAGTTTGGCTGGGGGGCGGAGCCTGATGGGCGGGGAAAAGAGGGGGCGGAGCCTAAATGGGCGTGGTTGGAGAGTGTAGTTTGTAGTCTCAGGTTGTAGCGTGTGCTGCGACGAATGTGTGATGATGCGACATCAACTAGAGCAGGGGATTCTATAAATTTGGAATTTAGAGAGAGAGAGAGAGAGAGAGAGAGAGAGACGCAGAGAAACAGAGAGGAGGTGAAAAATGGTCAAATATGATCCAAATTAACCCCTAAAAATCAGATGGATGCGTTCAAAATACTCCAAAATTGATGAAAAATGGTCCAAATGAGCTTAAAATCGTTTGAAACTTACAAAAATAAGTCCAAAAGCGGCTCAAAATGGTCCAAACATGGTCCAAAATGACGCCCTATATCAGATTGGTTCAAAATACTCCAAAATTGATTGAATTTAGGCTTAAAAACGGCTGAAATTGCTCAGAAATAGGGCTTAAAATGCTCTTCTCTAAAACGGTCCAAAAACGGCTGAAATGGTTCGAAATGACTCAAATTTCTTCAAAATGAACCAATTTAGAAACTTAAAATCGCTCTGAGATTGTCACTGATAAGCCTATCATGGTCCAAAATAGGTTTTGAGTCAAAATAATGACAACAAAACGACTAGAACTGGTCTAGAAATGGTGGTCCCAAATCACCAGTTTGTCAACAGAGAAGTGAAGGAAAAAGAGAGAGAGAGAGAGAGAGAAATTTTTAGGTCCGCAATAGCAGCTTTTTGGCTCGAAATTCGACAAATTTAGGGTTGAAAATCCATATGTTTATTTTGGAAAACATTATTTTTCAGTGCCAAATTTGTCAAATTTAGAGCTGAAATTTCGCGCAATTTTAGGGCCAAAAATCGGAAAAAAAGGGAAATGAAATGGGTCGAACGAGAGGAGGAGGATCAGAAATCATATCAGAAGATCCATGATTCAGATGGATCAAAAATCTGAACATCCGCACTTCAAGACTCTAAAATGTGAGAGTTTCCAGGCTATTTTGAACCTTTTTTGACATTTTTGGGCCCTGAAAATTTTCGGGAATTTTCTGTCTAAATTTGCTCTAATTTTAAGCTGCAAAAATTCCTCAATTTAATATGTCCTCCAAATTTGACGGTTGTTTTTGGTCAAGAATTCAACATTTTAGGGTTCAAAACAAATGAGATTTTCAAGCGATTTTCAGACATTTTCAGACATTCAAGTTGCTGCTGAGCGGGGGGAAAATAAAGACACAATAGACCTCTAGACCTCGATCACGTGGTTCCAGAAAATCAAAAAAAAAAAAAGAGAAGAGGAAGAGAAAAGGAGAAAAGGGGTCCTCCTGGATATCTCTGCTGTTGGAACAACAACAAAAAAATGGGAAGAGAGGTGAATAGAAGAGGATGCACCCATCGGGTGCGGGGCCAGTTTGTTGTCTATGTGTGCTCCGGGAGCCCAGAGAGTGAGAGACGCAGAGAGAGAGAGAGAGAGAGAGAGAGAGAGGGAACGAACACAACGTGCGATTATGAAATTTCCAACAAGAGGTGGACTTTCAACTGGCTAGTTGAGCCGTTTTAGAGCAACAATTCTAGGCTAAAAAGTGCAGAAGAAAAGCCGATTTTAAGCCCCATTTTCAGTCAATTTCAGGTCGGGTTTTAAACCAATTTTCATGCCGAAGACTGTATTCCAACTATTGTAAATGCAAAAAAACGTTAATTTCAGTCAATTTTAAGCCTAAAAAGTGTGCGCTCAATGCTTCTTGCTTTAGCGGGCCTATTTCAGACCATTATAAGCCAATTTGAATGCCGAAAACTGCATTTTGAGCGTTTTTTTTAACGCTAAGAATGTCATTTCAAGCTCAATTTAATCCCTAAAACCGCCGGACCATTTAGCTCATTTTCAGGCATTTAAAACAAAATTTTCGGCTTTTTTGGAGCACAAATTCGGCCCTAACTAGATTTTCTAGGTCAGCCATCACATGACACCGACACCAAAAGGAGCTCAAATTGCACAAAGTGGTATATATATATATATATATATATATATATATATATATATATATATATATATTCATACACACACACACACACACACACACACACACACACAAACGTCACCCGGTCCATTTGGCTTGCAAAATGAAAAAAAAACAAGAAGGAAATTGAGTTCTAGTGAGAGCTGGAGAGCAAAAAAACAAGGCGGCAAAATGGACCAAAACGATATTAGGTGTCCGCCAAACGGGCTGCTAAACATCAAAAATAAAGAGAGTGTGTGTGTAGAGGGGAAGAAGAATGAGTAGATCAACAACCATGGCAAACCCTAAGTTTGACTCCGGGCCTTCGCGGGCCCTGCCATAACTTCTTTCAGGATCGATATTTTCGAACCAACTCAATCAGATATGATAGAGCTCCACGAGTACTACAAAACGGTATTATTTGGAATACTGTATCTTGTCTATGAACAGAGTTACGGAGCAAAAGGAACAAAAAAAAACAGGCCCTGCGAGAAAAGC